TTTTTTTTTTTTCAAACTCACATTGTGTTTGTACATTCATGTAAATAAAAATAGAAAAATTTTATCCGGAAACGCATTCAAACTGTTCTGGGCCCCCAAATCATGAACCGAAGTGGGAACACAAGTTGGATATCATAGTTATACAAGAAACTCGGGGCTGACTTGTTATAATGGAGTATTGCCTAAAATCTGTCTCTTTTTCTCTTTACTCAATTAAATTATCCTTTCTCTGTCAACAGTTCCTTGATTTGACCTAGCTATCGTTTCTGAAATATGCTAATTGCAGAATCCTGTTCAGATCACGTCCTAAACGCCCATACTTAATTCACTTCACTCATTAATTTGGAAATCACGGCCAAAACGTCGAATGCCGTTTACCACTACAGGACAGCAGTGTAATCCCCGTAACCGTTTTTTCACGCCCCACCTTCATGAAACTTCTAAGCCAAACCATTAAACTAATTTCCCACTAAGAGATTCAGTCGCAAACGTTACCAAAAGTAATCTTACAAGCACCAATTGAGCGGCTATGCGAAAATAGTGAAATCACTGTTCAGCCTTACCTCAACCTGTAAAAAAACGAATTATTTCATGCATGAGCAAAACAACCTATCCCAAAGTCTTCTAAACTCAGTACTGCAATCCTTTAACTCACTTGGTATAACAATGTCTATGCACACGCCTCAACAACACCCCAAAAAGAAACCTTCAAAAGCCGCTATTTAACAAGTCCGTAACTAAGCCTTACCTTTCCCCGACTGGAATACACTTAATAAATTACAAGAAAATAGCTGATTAAGCAGCATGTACGTATAAGCCGCTTAACAAGTTTCCAAAGACCTCGATTACCATCAAGACAATCTGCATAACAACAGCATTGCTTTTATTTCAGAATTAATCAACCAAAAGAACTTCGAGAGATAATATTTGATCGAACCACATGCCTAAACTGAAAGTAAAAACATGAGGATAAGAATAAACTGGAAACTAAGCTATGCATGTTCTCTCAACCTCATCTCGCTATGTGTATCTGTTTAGTGCGCCTGCAATCTGATATTTGCGTCAGTCATAAACAAAGCAGATTTTGGAACAAATCATTCAATTTCTTGAACTGAACAGCCTGTGAAATAATAGCTCCAAGCACAGCATTAACTTCACGCAAACCCAGGAAAAATAAAAAGTAAAAAAAATTTATAGAGCACGATGCGATGAACTCAAAAAAAAAGAAAAAAAAAAAACAACGTTAAGCAAATCTGTTATATATATATATATATATATATATAT